TGTCTGTCTGTCTGTCTGTCTGTCTGTCTGTCTGTCTGTCTGTCTGTCTGTCTGTTTTTGTTATTGTTGTTGTTGTTTCTTGTACGATTAGACAATTTAGAAACCTTCCAGCCAAGGTTAACGCATTGTGGATGAAATTGTCTGTGAAAACGTGCCACTTTGTTTAAAAAGAAGGACAAGAAATAAGACAAAAGAAAGGATAAAACTCTAATAATCTAGTGCCCTTCTGGATTCATTTCATGTACTTTCAAAAACAGATTATTTGGGTACCTAAAAGATAGTAGTGGCGTGCAAGTGAGAGCGTACCAACGGAGGGGGGGGGGATTACGCCCCTTACCATACAGCTCATCATAGCCACTGTGGAGCGACTTGACTTGTGGGCTGCTTGCTTATTTCTTACACACATCTGCTACGGTAAAGGCTGTAGTGTTAACAGGTTAATTAACGCATTAGGGAATTTGTGATTTGGTTGACGTTGGCCTGGACGGAACCCACTGTTGTCCATCTGGGCTTTTGAACTGTTTTGTTTTGTTTTATTCTGAGGCGGTGCCAGGGGAGAGAAAAGGAGGGGACGGTATGGTGGGAGGTGGTGGGAGAGAGTGTGAGACAGTGGGAAGGGGGAAGGTAGTGGGAATGGGGGAGGGCAGAGTGTAGTAGTTATAAGGAATTAACCATTGTGGTTATTCTACTTTGATTTACCTCTGCAATGTCTTCTAAAAGAATCACCCTTTAGGAAAATAAACTAAGACTCTATTTCTAAATTTAATTCTAAATATTAACTCCTCCAAGTCGTACACCTACTCCCTGCTTTATCGCTGCAAGTCTAGTTTGATACATAAACGTTAGCATATTCAGCTTTCGAAAGATAGCTTTTAGGCTACACGTACAAGCATGCATTACCGACTAAAATATTCTGAAAAGAATAAAGATTTGATACAATTTATAAGGATGCATTTATTGCGCCACAGGCAGGGAGACAGGTATAGCGAAAGAGGAAAACAAGCCAAAACAGTAATGTAGCATCTAGTTTGTTGACTTGCCGACTTCTAGCAACTAAAACTTGGTGTTGATATGCATTTCAGGTGCTGCTGATTAGATCTACATTCCTTTTACTTTTTCCAGGTGCAATCAGTGACTTATAATTGGATGGTCACCTGGTGTTCTGTTGTGGTTTGCTCCTTTTTCCCTATCAAACCTCCATTATCCTTATCACTGCTCCTTCTTTTATGTGTTTGTTACTCTCTTGTAACTCCTCTAATATTCCGCACTTACATGACGTAATTGTGCTGCAAGTGTCGTAAAACGCTTACCAAAAACAAAACAAAAAATAGCAACTTCAAAAACTAAACAACATATCACATATGCAATGTATCTCAAAGTTCTTGTTCGTACAAATGAGATCATGTCAGTTTAAAAGTGAACAAAGATTGAGCGTCTTTACCCGCGATCAAAATCAAAGCTCTCATCCTATCTCAGGGAAATTGTTACGTCCCGCATAAAGATACGCAATGGTGTCGTTTCTTTTTGTCCTCCTGGACCGCTGCGGGAACTCTTTGAAGTCGGCGCGAGAGATCACCGTAAAAACCGGTGTTATCACAATTATTGCACCGTTAAATCATGTCACTTCAATGCTCTCCTCGCCGATGGTTGCTGAGTGCGACGTGAGACAGATCAACAAGCGCGATGGTCGGCTTTATCTGGAAAATATTCGTTTGTGAAATTATTACCTGCCAGTAAATTAGTTCCTTATCTGGCTCCGTTTGTACTGCTGTTGGCCTAGCTCTCACAAAAATTAAAGACTTCAAGGTTGTTACTTCCTAGATAAATCACACCAGCAGAGGCGTTTGTTTGTTTGCGAGCAGTTTCGCATTTCCGTGTTTCTCTTTATCGTTTGGTAGGAACACAGGACATGTGAATTTGGTCTGGTGGTGTAAAGTGTGCACACGTCTTGTCTCGTCTTGTCCTGTGTGTATAATGGTCACGACTTCTCAGGCCAAACTTGTTTCTGAACTGACGGCTATTCGAAGAGAGCGGACGAGTCTGTCCTTTTCTGGTTACTTTATACACCTATCGTGTCCACAAAAGAAATCAAAGAAAATGTATTGCACCGGGTGTCTAAAAACGACAAGATCCGTACAAAGGGCAATTTTGATGATGCATAGTTGCATCGTTTTCAACAAAACTTTGAACAAATAAAATTCAATAATGTCAGAGGTTTACGTTGTTTGTGATTTTTTTAAAATTTCAACCAAAACTAAGTAAATAGCAGACCTCACAACTTCACAAAATTCAACCTTAATGAGTATTTCCGCATTCAATAATACATTCCTTTTTTCGTCGTCTTCAACTCACCGTTTATCTGAGTAACGGTCACTTTTGCCTCATTAACGTACTGCACTTTTAGGGCTCAATGGAAGGGGGCGGGGGGAGGGTCCTGAAATTATTTTAGTACAATTTTAAAACGTCAAAACGTCGCAGATTTGAAAAAAAGTTTTATTTTTAATATGGCACGAACATACCTCACTAACGTTTTCAATTTACTCAACTGGAAAGCAATTTACGTGACACTGAACTTCATGGGAATAGTACTGAGTAATAAGATTTTGTCAAGGAGACCGTAACCGTTGGATGCAATCGGTAATGTAACTGTATCGATATCGTCAAAAAACTTCGTGGCTTTGATAGTACCCGGTTTTGTTTTGTTTGTTGTTGTTGTTGTTGTTGTTGTTTTGTTTGTTTTGTTTTTGTTTGTTGTTGTTTTTTTTGGGGGGG